CCCCAAGCACAACGAAGAAAATGCCCGAGTTACAAGATCAAGATACTGGGAAAACATGCATGTCCAATAATATTTTTTTGCATTACATATAACAGATTTTCGTATTACAACGCACCCTTCCGGAAAGTACGTCACTTTGGCTATATAGAGCCTCGTTTCCGTGTATGTGACAAAACCCAGACGTCTTATTCACGAAAACGAGGCTCTATGGTCAAAGTGACGTACTTTCAAGAAGAGTGTATTTATATTAAAACACACTTATTTTTTTCGGTTTATTTTCAAACAATTATTTTGTTCGGTTTATGTACAAAAATATTTACATTGTCCAATATTAACCTGGTGGAAGTATGGAAGGCTGCGAAGCATTTTGGCACTCTTATTACAAGGCTAAAATATCGTTTTTCGGTAATTACGCTTTCGATGTTGTTGAGGCGGGAGCCAGACTCAAGCCAATGAGATCATGTGATAAAGATGACTGAAGATGTCGGGCCATTTCAGGCAGCTTCGAAAAGTAATTTCTTGCCAACACATGTTTATGAAGAACTTTACCAATAAACATTCGTCCATATGCCTAAACAAGATCAAATAATGTTCAATTATAGGTATATTTCATTTCGTTCACTATAAGTGCTCATTTACATGATGCCAGACACTTAAATCATCTTGCGGGAAAGCGCGAGCTAGTGCAAGGTTACACGTGTTGATTTCAGTTTGCTCGCGCGGGCAACGCAACGGGTCACTTTGGTAGCGTTGCTGGCACAAGAAGCAACACGTGCAACGATTTTATCGTCTGATAGAAAAGTGCAAAGTCTGATACTAAATCTAAATAACTAAATTTATATTTCTTGACAAGATTTAGCGTTCTTAATTTTAACACACAATTAAGTTTAAACGTTTGATTACCTAAAGATCCTAAAATACGTTTAAAAAGTGTATGAATTATTATGTGACTGTATAGAAGCAATGTTTTAGAAATCAACTGATTTCGAGATCTTTTACCACTGGATTCGCTGCCTCAAAAATATTATTTTTGAGAAAAAAATTCGCACGTGCCTATGCAAAATTGGCAGCGGCTCATTTTCTGTGATCTCGTTCGTTCGTTCGTTCGTTCGTTCGTTCGTTCGTTCGTTCGTTCGTTGTTTGTTCGGAATCTTAAAAATTAAGTTTGAAATACTTCATTTGTGAATTGTTTTACTGGAGAGAAGCATAATGAGAGACTAAAATATATATTTGCGAGTTATTGTGACCGTAAATTATATTAAGGCCGCGAGGCAACTGGCGAGCGGCGTCTTGATATTTATAGACATAGTATTTATAATATTTATATAGTATTTCTAAATACACTGATGGAGAATGATTATGACTAAGAAACGGGGCGCCGCACTTTAATTAATACTACGTGTGCTTTGCTTAGAAAACATTCAATTAATAATCGCTCACATCAACGTGTCTATATTCTATACTAGACGCCCGGTGTACCAGAAAATATGAAATATATAACTATTTTTTTCTAGTGTTAACTTAGGTTGTCTCGAAGCAGCTTGTTGTGTTTGTTCGGCCATATTTTGGAAAAGCGAAGCAGAAATGGTGCTTTTCAGGCGATGAGCGCGAAAATAAATTGTAAACAAGGTCCCGAGCAACGCCCGATCAAATCCGAAATATGCCGAACAAAGACCGAAAGAATTGTTCCGTACCGCGTAAACGGAGAGCCAATGTGGACACATATTTGTATCAGTACAAAAATTTATCCGGACAAAATTTTGTCGAGTGCCGTGTAAACGGGGTCTAATAAATGTTGTTTATTTCTAATTTTACGTGTGGTTGGATTTGGTAGTAGAGTAGGTGGCTTTCATCATGTTTTCATCATTCAAAAGAATCTCATTACTTCTCACCATTCAAAAGAATCTCATCATTCTGTGTTTGTGTTAAAGTCTCGTGGGATTGCTTGGAAACTACCTATTGTCACTTTTCAAGGAAACAAAGGCAAAAACTCATTATTTGGGTCATTAACCGCTTTTGAGCAGAAATCACGTCATGGTCATTAGGCAATTAGATCAGCGCTGAAATTCCTGACGCTTGGTTACGTCGCTCATAGCGACGCAAGTTGTTATAATGTAGTCTTTGCATAGTTGCCATATTTATTAGAGGAGGATGAATCTTATTGAAGGGGATGAAATCTCACACACTCCAGTAGATACGCCCCTCGTGAAAGGGATGGATGAGAGTGAGGTTTTCAATGTTGCGGCTACCTTTCAATTTCGTTAAAACATGCAAGAATCAACAGCAATTAGGCACTTAAAACAATCCTAAACCTTAACCTAAACTTTATCCTAAACGTTTTCCTAAGCCTAACCTAACCCTGACTTGAACCCTCCCCCCCCCCCCGTCCCTTTTAGCGATACATACCTCACTAACATTCTCCAACTTTTCATGAGCAGAAGCTTCTTCTTTCGTCAGTAAAATACAATTCCATGGAGACCACTCCTCGTGTTTATTCCATCGAATAAATACCAAATCATAAAGATCATTCTGTGCGCTCAGAGCGCTCTGCGTATTCCAGATACTTTCAATTAGGTAACGCAAATCTGATTCCTGCGGAGAAAATGTGAAGGTTACAGGACACCTTTTTGGCGTTCCGCGTAAAATCACTACTGCGCGCTCAATATCAGTCCGATTTTCATCTAATTTTTACCAAATGTTCGTCAGTGCATGTAAAATATGATAAAGTTGTAAAATTGACAAACAATAAAATAATATAAGAATTATTCAGGAAAATCTTAAATCGCGGTACCTTTACGCTTTTGATCATGAGTTGTTTTCCTAATTCATGGTTTTAAGATATATTTATGAAAATATCATTTTTATACAGTGAAAGTTGTTTTAAAAAAACGTGTTGGGAAATTTTTGTTTATTTTGACAATCCGCTGATATGGTCATTTCTTTGACGACTACAATATATTTCTGAATCGTTTGAGTGAATTACTCCTTATTATTAAAATATCGAAAATTAGAAAAACGCCGAACACAATTTTGAAACTGGCGTCTTTAGCTATGTCCTACGAAAATTAATAAGAAAAATTCGTTAAAACCCGCAGGAGAACAACTCATTTGAAAATCAGTAATTGCCGTAAAATTCTTTCCGAGAAATTTGAATTTGAAGATTACATTTTCAATGTTTTTCTTATTGCAGCGAAATGTATTTTATTAAATAGTTTTCAACATGCATTTTTCGTTCAAACTTGGTCAGATAGTATATATTAATGCTTTCATGGAAACAATAAAAAAATGTTAGGCAAAATTAAACCTTAAATCACGAGATTTCACGAAACATCATGCCATGCTATCCACTCTTTAGACGAAAATATAAATATATAGGAGCTTGGGTGGCAGACCTCTGCAGTAAGTCGAGGCATACTCAATAGAATAAGGTTAGGGAACTCAATGAAGATATCTATAATAGAGCTCATCATCTATGTAAGTTTTTGTCTTAGTTTATGCAATGAATGTCGGTTCATCGTCACGTGTGTGTTGTATTTTCGCTAGAGCAACCAATAGCTATGTTTTTATCACAATTGGGAAATTAAACCAGCACACTGCTATTGGTTGGGCGAAAAAACAATACACATGACGTGACGATGACTGACTGACCTTTTTTGCATAAACCAAGACCAAAATATAGATAATGATGCATGTCTATTATGTCTGCATCGAGTTTCCTAACCATCTTATTCTATTGACTATGATTGAGGGTAGGGTACTGTAAGTAGAACTTGGTTGGTTGTCTCCCGTGCTTCGAGGGTTTTTCTCCGAGTATTCCGCGGTTTTCCTTCAGTCATGAGTCGTGTATGTAGAGGCTGCATGGAGTGCCCTAGTAAACCATCGACTCACGTTGGAGCCGCGTGCTTTGTTGTTCAGTTTTTCAGCTGCAAGATATGATAATTTCCACCTCCTTCCTTTATCTTAATATTTTTTATCAGTGATCATATCCCCTTTTACCTAATCGCTTCTTAACTATCTCTCTATACGTGGGTGCATAACATTTAAAATTTTCAGGCGGAAGAATAACTGACACGTATTCTACTTTAGTTTTAACGTATATAAGAGCATTACAGAAATCCGTATTAAATTTCCCATCTGCAGATAACCATAGAAATAGAGAATCAAGCTAGATGAATCGCGTTTCATTATAGTCCATGGAAATTCTTACCATTGCAAGTGTATTGTTGAGTACAATGGGTTTTCAAAATTTTGTTTTGTTTATAGGTCGGCGAACTAAGCGATCTTCCAATTATTATATGATTGACCTCACAAATCCAACTCTATACTTATTTATTATAGGGGATAGAGAGAAACAGAAACTGCCAAATAAAGCACCACTGAACGTATTGATCACGGTGCATCCAAAAGCTAATGTTTGCTGGAAAATGAAAAGTTAAATGATAAATAACTTGAGCCAAATTTCAAGTCCATTTTTGGAAGCGCTTAACGTGCATTTTTTGTCACGTGGTTAGGACTGTACCTGTAGCAGAAATGCAATTTTGGATCCATCTTTGAATAATTCTTCGGAACGACGGAGACTCTGAAGCATCATTTTGTATTGTGAGAAATCTTGACGTAAACGGGCATCATTATCCAGAGCTTGGCAACGACGACATTTGCCAACAATTCTGAAATGAAGGTAAAACATGAAATATAGAAACGACAATGCCTGCATAGTTTCCATTTGATCGTGAAGATAGTAAGAATAACAAAGTGGCCGATGTATCTAAGTGTTGATATACTGTATGTTTGCAATTACTGATTTGCAACAGTACACAAAAGACAAGAAAGATCAAAACCATGACTTGGTCACAACTAAATGGAAACCAGGTTGAAAATATGATCATTGATATGTGATGCGGCAGAAAGTTCCCAATGATTTAGGGATAACACTTAAGTAAGGGTAACAGGATGAATGAACGCAACATTACCTTGAATTTGTTCCAATTTGAAATTCTGTAGAAGAAAGATATTGTCGACAGCTTGGACAAAAATAAATATTCTTTCGTAAAGTTGAAGGATCCTGAGGTACCTACAAATATATTTCAGTTAGCAAAACATGGCATAACACTCACTATAACAATTCATCTTTTCCTGTCTTGAATATAATATTATAATTTCTATAAAAAAGCTACTGTATCTCTTGTCTTCAAATTTATGTACTGTTTAATAAACGAGCAGGAGTATTTTATTAGGTTTAAAGCCACGAGCGCGCAGCGCGAGTGGCTTTAGACCTAATAAAACACGACCTGCGAGTTTATTAAACGGCTTCAAACACGACTACAAATTCGATAGAATAGATACTGCCTTATTAGTATTCTTTATATAAAGAATACTAATTAGGAGGTGTTTTATCAGGTTTAAAGCCACTGCAGTGACATATTATGGTTGACATGATTTGCCAATAAGCTTATGAATTATTAATGAGTGTTTGAATAGTAATTTAACGACTACAATAGATACTGCCTTATTAGTATTCTTTATATAAAGAATACTAATTAGGAGTGTTTTATCAGGTTTAAAGCCACTGCAGTGACATATTATGGTTGACATGATTTGCCAATAAGCTTATGAATTATTAATGAGTGTTTGAATAGTAATTTAAAACGTTCAGATTCGACTACCACTGCTAGTACTACCGCTACCGTTAACCAATCAGATATGTTTAATCTACACGATTAACCAATCAAATGGGTATCAAGCCAGTGAGAGGTAGCAGAAGTCAGATCTGAACTTCTCTAGCGTTCTGGATGAGGGTGGCCATCTTTAAAATTTTGTATCTGTCTTCACAACATAACTGCGCATTTCTAAAGTTCTAGAAAGAGCGTTGTACGAGACAGCCTACATACTCACTTTGAACTTGAAAACACTGTAATACAAGATCATATTAAATTCCAGAATCTGATAAAATTGAAACTGTTGTTGAATATACTGTGGTTCAACCTCGTTCCTCGTCCTCACACGAAAGCCCTGGGAACGAGGTTGACTGTAGTTGTTTCGATTAACCGCCGCGCTGTTGTGAATAAGTGCGGCGCGTTTTTAGAGAGGCGCTCTCTAATATGCGGAGCTTAATCGAGGGTGACGCTTCAACGAGTAAAACGATATACCACATGATTTTTTTCTGTGTTGTGTTATGTACTCAGGTGAATATGATGTTTGTGATGTTACTCTGAGTGTATATCCACACCGGGCAAACTTGAAAAATATGCCTGACCACGGTGGGAATCGAACCTACGACCTTTGGAATACTAGCCCAATGCTCTGCCAACTGAGCTACGCGGTCAGGTCGGTTCGAGAAAAAAATCATGATTACTAGATTGCATTGATATCGAAGGAACTAGACTCAGTTACGAAATATCACATACTCGAACTGACCTGACCGCGTAGCTCAGTTGGCAGAGCATTGGGCTAGTATTCCAAAGTTCGTAGGTTCGATTCCCACCGTGGCCAGGCATATTTTTCAAGCTTGCCCAGTGTGGATATGCACTCAGAGTAACATCACAAACATGATATACCACATATTTACCAAATACCGTATCTCTTCAATTTAGCCCCTGAGGCTTATTTTTTCCATTGGTTCTGGACTGCGAATGTCGGGTGATTAAAGAGGCTAAGTAGATGCTGGGAGCTAAATAATTTTTCACGTTCTTTTAAATAATATTTCAAATCCGACTATGAGGACTGGACTAGATTTCAAGTCCGCGCAATTTGATTAAGCCGAGGATCAAAATGCGAGGACTTGAAGTCTAGTTTAGTTCGAATTGGAGGATTTGAAATCAGACATCTCATATAAATAAGTCACCACTGAAAGTGACGTGAATTAACTTGACCCAGTCCAAGGATTGAATAAATTTTGATCCAGTCCTAGGACTGATCAATATACTCCACAAGGTATCCAGTATTATCATAAAGCAATATGCAAGCTTGGCTAATTTACTCATGAATTATTAATGAGTTTGAGATAAAATAGTGAAGTTTGCCTCAGTGCGGTTAGCGGTCTGCTGTAAACGTCAATCTTACGGTTCGTTTACACTTTTTTAGGAACGAGTGGATGAACGAGTGGATGAGTTAGTGCATATACTCAGAGGGTGCATATACTCAGAGGGTGCATATACTCAGAGGGTGCATATACTCAGAGGGTACATATACTCAGAGGGTGCATATACTCAGAGGGTACATATACTCAGAGGGTGCATATACTCAGAGGGTACATATACTCAGAGGGTACATATACTCAGAGGGTGCATATACTCAGAGGGTACATATACTCAGAGGGTGCATATACTCAGAGGGTACATATACTCAGAGGGTACATATACTCAGAGGGTGCATATACTCAGAGGGTGCATATACTCAGAGGGTGCATATACTCAGAGGGTACATATACTCAGAGGGTGCATATACTCAGAGGGTGCATATACTCAGAGGGTACATATACTCAGAGGGTGCATATACTCAGAGGGTGCATATACTCAGAGGGTGCATATACTCAGAGGGTGCATATACTCAGAGGGTACATATACTCAGAGGGTGCATATACTCAGAGGGTGCATATACTCAGAGGGTGCATATACTCAGAGGGTACATATACTCAGAGGGTGCATATACTCAGAGGGTGCATATACTCAGAGGGTGCATATACTCAGAGGGTGCATATACTCAGAGGGTGCATATACTCAGAGGGTGCATATACTCAGAGGGTGCATATACTCAGAGGGTGCATATACTCAGAGGGTGCATATACTCAGAGGGTGCATATACTCAGAGGGTGCATATACTCAGAGGGTGCATATACTCAGAGCATTCATAACTTATCCACTCGTTCACATGCATCAGAAGAAGAAAATCGGACCTAGAATCGCAGCAAAAATTGCAAGTGTAAACGGGCCTTTAAGGAATCTAGTGCTACCAGTGAACGTTATATAGAACGTGTGTGTTCATATTTCGCTGTAACTTTAGTTGAGAAGGATTCAATTAATACAGGATGGGGGTATGAAATCAACGCTGTGAAAATGGCGACATCTGATTGGTTAGCGGGAAATTTTGCCATATAGTTAGGTACTGGTACTTTGCTCGTTTCAACGACCTGATTGAATTTTATATTGAATAATTTTACTCGGAATAATGTACAAGTCGCTTGGGCAGAACACAGGCTGCGAGTGTGACAAGTAAGTCGCAAGTCATGCCACAAAACATACTAGGTGGTTACATGGTAAGCTGATATACTCACTTTTAATAATCTAGCAGCTTCAGGATTGAACAACGGTGTCTTGCAATATTGAAGAAATAGAGTCGAAATACGTTGTCGTAAACCTACAAGAAATGAAATAAAAACACATCTAACAGATGGTTATCGATTCTTTATACACTGCTCTTAGGTACAGTCCGGGTATCGGTATCTGGTAATGAGTATATAGTGCTGGAAATGCTACTTCTAAATTATGCGCGTTACAGAGATTCTTCATAAATTCTTCATAAATACATTCAAAGTTTTTTATGGGAGATACACCGGTTTTGAAAATGATAGAGTCAATTTAAGTATTGTCAAATTCGTGCAAAACATGAATTGCAATCGACGTCATTTCTTCATGCGTGTAAACGATTCTTTGGAGTTAGGCACATGTATAGCTAGCTACCTTATCATTCATAGAATGACAAGGTAGCTACAGTATATAGTAAAAGCGTTTTTGTAGGTGTATCATTGGAACTGGGATAAAAGATTGCCTCTCAGTTGAACAGACAATTTCTCTTCTTTCGATGTTAACAGAATGCGCACTTGGAAAACCTACTGCATGCTCTAAATGCCGTTCTTTCAACTTAAGCTGTTGCTCATAATCTAAACTATTAATTTTTATATAGTTATGTAAATAGTGTTCTAGTCCTTGTCTTTAATGTATGTCTACTTGTTGTATTGTATCAGGTTGGTCTTCACATGGGACTCATGTCCTGTTGACCATACCTTCAATCATTGTTATAATTTTGTATGATTGTACAGTTAATAAAAAAGGAGCATAGGACATAATATAAGTATTTATTAATGATATAAGTATTTATTACTGATATAAGTATTTATTAATGATATAAGTATTTATTAATGATATAAGTATTTATTACTGAGCTTAAGCAAGTGAGGTTTTTGTCAACACGGACGTCACCCGAAAATTGCTAGAACTAATTTTGGCGGTATTGTGCATCATAGCGCTCAAGGAAGCAAAAACTTTAAAATCTTATGCTCTGTCACATGTGTCCAAGATTACCACAAACTGATACAAACACAGTTTTTATTCCAGTCCCGGGCCCCTCAGTCTCGGCAATCTGACGTCCGCATTGACAAGAACGTCCCATGCATAAGTTCTCTGTTATTGAATATAATACCATACATCCTGGAACCTTATATTTGTACATTTACGTAAAGATGAAATCTCGTACCTTCAAGATTTGATTCCTTAACACCTCTCATTAAAAGATCAGCTTCACGATCAATGAGTTCAATAATCTCTTGTGTTAATTTACAATCATGCTCTTTGACTGTGTGTTTGACAGTTAATAAAACATCCAACCTTTCATCTTGTGTTAAATACTTCATACTTAAACTACTGAAAATATCTCGCAGTTCTTGGGCACGCAATGTATAAGGTGTGTCCATTTCTGTGACTTTACCATCAAATGCTTTCCATCTCTTTGGTGAGGCCGCCTAAGGAAGGAAATTACGTCAGTGGTGACTTGTTTGATCTTAAAAACGTTCGTGGCAGCTATATTAGAGAAGTTCAAATTTTGACTTACACAACCATTAACCAATCAGATGCATTTAATCTACCCAACTAGCCAATCAAATACGTATTAAGCCTGCGAGAGGTAAAGGTAGTCAAAGCTGAATCTTTCTATTATAGAAAACACTGCCGTTGAAAAGAGCGTTCAAACTAGTATCAATTTTAAAAACATGACTGCATGAGTATACATCAATTGAAAGTTCTTATTTCATTGGATTTTATATGTTTCACTGGACGTTTCATGACATCTTTTGACATCAATTTACCAGTTGACGTATTTTACCTAAAAAGCCTGAATTTACCTTATTCAGAAATTGTTTATCACGCTTTTCTTTATTCTCGACATCAGCTTTTGATTTATGTCTTCCAATAGAAGCGATCAAGTACGCTTCTTGTTCCAGTAAACAAGCAAGGGCTGCTTTTCTTTCAGGTCCACTCATTAATTCATTAATCTTCGCAGTTTCTTCCTTCTTCCACTCTATATAGCGCAAAGTTACAACAGCTATAGCTATAAAGTCAACAATACTGTACGGTGACACGATGTATAGTTACAGTATGTTCAGTATTATTTAAAACATGAGCAGCAGTGTTTTATCAGATATAAAGATAGGAGGCGAAGTCGAGTATCTTTAGGTCTGATAAAACACGAACTGCGAAATAAATGAATGTTTTAAATTGCTTCAAAAACGTTGTGTAAGTCGAGAAAATCAAAGTTTAAGTTTATGTGTGAATCAAGGGAAATCTCTATCACAGTTTATACGACACGCTTATGATTTTTCTTTGTGTTTTCCTCATGAATTATTGAGTTTGAAATTTATTTACAACTGTTTGACGTTTTGTAGACATATTATTTATGCAGCTGGATTATGTTAAATGTACAATTCATGCACTTTTGACGTTAAGCTCAAGGTTTTTACACAGTTGTTTCATTGCATGGGTATAATTTCAGATATTTGCATGTACTGTACTTCAGTACTTTCTACTTTATCATTGAGTGTACTTAAAGGCCCATCTACATCTGTACTTAAAGGCCCATCTACATCTGTACTTAAAGGCCCATCTACATCTGTACTTAAAGGCCCATCTACAACGTACACGATCTTTTCCTGGCGTATGTACGTGAATAAATGCGTGTAAAGATTATATTGTAGTAATATAACCACTCAGCACAGCATTTTCACATTGGTACTACCTACATTGGTACAGACAATTAAGATGTCGCCGTTTTTCAAATTTCGCCATAAACTAATAAACAGGAAAAAGTTTCGTTGTACTCTGCAGGGGGTCATTAACTGCGACCCCAAAAATTATTTGAAAATGCGAAATCACGATGTGACCACGTGATGAGCCATCAGCCATGAATTACTATAGATCCTGATTAGTAGGCTTATCAGATATTTTTTCCCAATAAATATTAACTACAATCAAATAGTAACAGATAGTAAAATACATAATAATATAAGAATTATAAAATGTATTTTATAACTTCTGGTTTCAAACGTTTTACAAAATGTCTTGCAAAAAAGTTGTTTCTGAAATGTGCCTGCGACCGTCGGTCCCAGCGGTCCCCACTTTAATGACCCCTGCATGGTACTCTGTGAGAATAGTATGAAACTAGTTTCATGCACTTTAACTTACTTTCCAATGCGGCGTACAACAAATCAAAATCTGTTTTACTGCTTGGGTTCATTCTTCTTTCCCATTCTCGTCTTATTTTATCCGCTTTTTCTTGTTTTCTTTTTTCATCCTCCTACAGAAACAGACGTGTGCATCTTATTTAAATCAACACTATTCACGTCTTACAGATACAGTCATGTCACCATTGTCTCATTTCTCCTCTCTCCTCCGCAGAGGCTTCTGTGGCTATGATTACGATTAGTATTGAGATACATTTCACTACAACTTTACATGGCGGATCTTGGAACACGAGCGGAGCCGCTGCATGGGCCCAACTAAAGCCTCTGCGGAGGAGAGAGTTTTTTCTCTGTAAACATAATTTTTTCTCTTTTGGTATATGATAAAGTATGTAGATGTTAGTATATAGTTGGGTTGTTTTGTAAATGGAATTTTCAAACGTAAATTATATATATATTTTTACATCTAACCTGAAGAAGTTGCAAAAAATGCAATTATAGGCTCACTGGCAGGAATCGAAGCTGCGATTCCCGTGCAACGCTCTAACCAACTGACCTACAGCGTCCAGTTGCCATGCATTAACCATAAATTCATGTATGTAATGGATGATACCAGTAGTAGGTATATGGGTAAATATGGAGGTATTCTGGACATCTCGTTCAATAGCCAGTGAGCATATTGGTAGTATATGTAGTATAAATACTGTCTATCCTAAACATAGCTTTTTCTTGTATATACTGCTGCACAGTGTAACAAGTTCCAAACACACAAAGTGTTGTTCCATGACTGTCAATTTTTCACAGATTTTTTGGAACACCTCTTAATTGTTTAAGAATGTGATTTCATTCATATATTGACGAGTTAACTGAAACCTTACGATAAAAATCATGCACACGCAAGACGTGAAAAGAAATGCTAATTCAGTAACTCACACAATACACCCTTTCAATAATTACGTCATTTGGCCTGGGAGCCTCGCTATCATGAATCATGAGCCAATCACCTTGCGTAATTTACTAATGAGAGCGAGGCTCCAACACCAAAAAGTATGTGTGACGTAATAAATAATGATCGATTGATCGAAAGGGTGTATTAAGTCCTGAGCATTTATACGATCTGTATGTCCATTTGTATGTCAGTTTCAATGCCTCAGAAGTTCAATGCTACAGTGCTGCACAATTTATGTCAGTCTTCCATAAGTCTGACACTGCATCTGCGTCGCTCTCACGGCAGATTCATTCCCTCACAAGTTTGAATTAATTCACAAACTATAAGTTTGCAAACTAGGGTAGAAAAAAATCAAACCTTCCTCTCCCAGGCGAAACGATTTTCTCTGTCCATACGCAGATCTTCCACATATTTCTTTGCCAACCACTTGCGCCAATAACATTGCAGAATGATAACCTAGAATTATACCAAATAACATGCGTTCACTGAGAATTTTTTGGTACGGACTCGAATGCTCATTTTTAGATGACTTTTAAATATCTTTAAATATCATTAAATATCTTTTTTAACTTTTGCTAAGCTTTCTATGTTTAAGGCTGGTTTACACTATCAAAGTTTCTGTGATCACAATAGGAATTTTGCACAGGTAAATTCTAAAACACTGAGTCAGTCCCTCAAACATTTTTTACAAACCATTAAAAACTTAGAATTTACCCATGCAAACTTCCTATTGTAATCACAGAAACTTTGACAATGTAAACCAGGCTTTATATATAAATTCTTGATTAAAACTGCCGTTGTTGGTGTCTGAACAACTTGAAAAAGATTACAACCCTTTCGAACGAAGGTCCTTCGTTAGTATAGCGACTATTCTCGCTACTGACTTTCTGATCAAGGATCATAACTTCATTTGAAAGTCGAAGACTAAATAAGTGTTTTTAATCTTTTTTTCGGTAGACCAAGACAACGCAGATAACTTGCAAGCCTAGTTGATTATGTAAATAAACACGCGTTGAATATAATCAGGGCGCTAAATTAACTATTCTAGAGCGCGCGCATGCAAAGAATTTTTGCTGCATAAATTATGTGTATAAGGATCGCCATTTTAATCTTGAAACAGATCAATGAAAGTGTTCTTTGATCAAACACTTTTGTCGAAAATTTTGATCAAATATTGATACTAGTGCCGTTTTGTTTATTTTGATTTGATTTAAGCGTATACATTCAATACATTTTTTTTTTCAAAAACATTGATCAAAGAAACTTTGATAGTCTAAACACTGAGAGAAAAAATAATTATTTTTAAACCATTGTTTATTGATATGAGATACATACAGATAAGAAGTACAAGAATAGAATAATATTTATATATACAAGAGTTATTGGTTAATGCATGTACATTGCTTATAAAGTAGTTTTCAATCCCCACTCCTATACCACCCATTTCTTTATCAATTGAATTGTTACTGTTCAACTTCCTATTTATATTCCAACCAGAGTATTCCAAGTATAGTAAAATTTAGAAAATAGTGTAAAAGGTCCTTAAACCGAACCCGAGCTTGCGTTCACCCTGAACTTTGTCGAACTCTCTCGCTTGAGTTGTGTTCCTCATGCCAGAGGAAAGCTTAGATATAGTTCGCTTTCTTATTTTTCAGAATTCTCCACAATGTCACTTCGCTCGCCGTCTTCTGCAGATGCGACGAGATTATTATTTGCTTCCGTAACGACAGACATTGTTTCATCTTCTGGCACGCGTGCTATAACCCCAACACGTACTATTTCACTGAGTTGAGGTACTAAAGGCTGCGAGAACGACATATCCACCCAAGATATTTCATCATCATCATCGTCGTCGATGAAGCTGGCCTGTCTTTGTTGACCACTTGAATCCCCATGCAGTTCGCCTGGCATTTCGGATTCACTTTGCCGTTCTTTTGATACTTGGCTTTCACGTGTAAGGTCGTTGGCGACTTGGGAATCCACGACGGGCTCGCTGGCTGCGCTTCCATCCTGGCTGGTGAAAATTTCCGACTCGTTTTTGGTATCCACCCCGCATGGATCCAAGCTGATATGAATGTCGTTTACTATGACGTCAGTGCCACAGTTTACCAATGTATCATTGACGAGATAAGTTGATGACGTAGCCGTTTCCGTGGTAACAGATTGCTCGGGCAAATTCACGGCGTCGGTGGTACTGTCTTCACCTTCGGATTCATGCCCAATTTCGTCAGAGTTTGTTTCTTCACCCATTTCAAAAGTAACTGAAATTTGGGAAGGTTTCGTAGCAATGGCAGGCTTGACATCTAATTGTAAGTTATTGCTGACGTCGGATTGGACCTTGTTAATGACGTCAGATTCTTTGATGGCGTCACTATTGGCTTCTTTGATGGCATCAGCTGGAAATTCGGTTTCTATGGCGAATTTGTTCGCTTCTTTCTCGGTTTCGCCAACGCATTCCAATGGGAGGGCTTCAGGAACATTCGTATCCACGCGTTCATTTGCAGTGGGTTCTTCCACATCTTTACTGCTCTCTTGAACGGCGCCAGCTATATCTGCCTTCACTTCTTTTTCGAGCTGAGCTTCAGCAGAGTTCTCGCTCGGCAACAGCTTTGCTTTCTCTGCTTCACCGTCGTTCTCGAGTTGAATTTTGGCCGTCTTCATACTTGGCAAAAGTGCTTCGTTTGGCGTCTCGACAACTGCCTTTGTATCTTTCTTGTCATTTGACAATTGTGACAATTGGCTGACGCTAGCCTTGCTTTTCATCGGCTCTTGGCTGACGCTAGCCTTGTCTTTGATTGGCTCCTGATTATCAGCCTTGCTTTTCATTGGCTCGTCTTTGTTTGCATCGGCTTGTGTAATTGTTGCCACCGACAATGTTTGAAGTTCAGTATTTTCATTTTCGCCACCAATTTCCTTTACCACTTTCGAATTAGTCGTCGTGTCTGAATCACCAGCCCTGCTCGTTGCCGCCTTCGGGGCTTCTAACTTGACTGTAAATTAAAAAATAAAGATGAGCGTACAAAATAAACTTTATTATCACCGATAGCCCCAACAGTTCTAAACTGTTCACACTAGAGGTTCAATAAGTCACAAATGCAGCCATACCTTTTTCTCGCTCTAGCTTCTCCTGAGCTTTGCGGGCACAAGTTACCACAGCGGGCTCTTGACCACTCATGTTTGATAGTCCACCAATGCTGAAATGCATATTACTTGGAATTCCCGTTGTCAACGAATTCGAGGTTTGCAACCAGAGAATATCATTCTGATTGACCTCATTCACATCATCCTTCTTCTCAAAACATCCGCAACAACCACCCATACTCAAAATCTCAAAATTTTCCAACAATAACTCGCTACTTGCAGTTTAAAAGAGAACCGTATTTCACGAAACGCAATAACACAGTCACCTAATTAAATTATGACGTTCTAATTTATTGTGCAGCAATCAATTAGCGCTTTAATTAACGATACGTCATTTGACGTAAAATACCAGTGAGCTCTATATATATCTGGAGCGAGAACTTCAGTCATTCGGCCTATGAGAAAAGTGAAGCCAAGATGGCGGCCATTGATGTCCAATAACTCTGAAAGTCATAAACAGCTTTTGTGCCATTTCCCCCAGCTTATTCCAGTTTTTTTTTTGCTGCACCGGAATCGCAGGGCCGTAGGTTCAATTCCTACCAGAGGACCTTGTGCTGCATTTTTCGCAGTCGTTCCTGGTCAGGTCTTAAAATGTATATAATCACTTGGATTACAACCCTAACATTCTAATATCAATTCCACCAAGTAAAGTGCACGAAACCACATCATTCAGTTTTTTCTAACGGACCGTATCGCTAATCAAGTTATCAGTTCAAGAAGAGCTATTGGACGTCAGTTCCAGTCCTTTTCTATTGTTTTTGTCTGCGCGGTTAACACGAAGCTGGCTTCACTTTTTGGACTCAAGTTCTCGCTCCAGATATATATGGAGCTCAGTGACACAGATCTGAAATGTCGACTGGCGGATAGCGTATAAGCCAGTTCAGCATTGCGAGAAATCCCTGCGAATGAAATTTTGTGTCCGCAATAATGTTTGAGAGGAAAGGAAAATAGGTAGACTTGCTACAAGTCGACTCGGATTATTTAGCTGCATGCGCGGTTGAGATCTCGAGATTTCTCAGGTTAAAATGCGGATTTTAGCGGTAGGGGCTGCGCTCGGGAGCACAAGATCGCGCATTCGTTTTATTCGCTCACTCGTTTTACTCCTTGCAATGGAGTCGACTTGTAGCAAGTCTAGAAAACAGGGAAACACTCGAGGAAGCATCAAGGGTTTCAAATATTTCCACAACAATTTATAGGGTGGAGAAACTGAGAAATATTTGAGAAAACATCACGTGTTTGAAATGTTTCTGCAACAACGTTTTGCAGTCCCTCCTCCCACACTTTCTCTTTTAGCAAAGCCTTCCGTGTGACGCCCATTACAGATTCATGTCTCGCTGTTTATGAATACTGACCCTAATTAATTTTTACCCTGACCCTAACCACTGATCCTAACTCATAAACAGCGAGAAATGAATTTATATCCGTATTTTGGGAGCCCTCGGACAGGAGTGAGGTAATCGTAATTACGGCAATATATAACGTTTGAGGGTACAGTACTTTAGGAAAGAAGTTCATCCCATGTGGAAAGTATAGCATATATAATCCTTTTGAATCTCTTACCTTTTCTAAGATATTCTTGTGATGTTCATCAGCGGTCACGTACGTTGAAGGTGTTATAATTTTATCCTCAAAATTAGACACGTAGCATCCATCTTTCGTCTATAAATGGAACATTGCTGACAATAAGTATTAGATGCAATAGATACGGCAATAACGAAAACTAACTCTAGCCTGTAATATGTATTCACTGAGTTTTCATGCATTGAGTGCGGATGTTATAGAGTGAAGAATTTTCAGTATGGCTGTTAGATTGGTATAGTGCTTTTGAAAAAACATCGTACGCTTCCGGGAAGTACGTCACCCTGAGCCTCGTTCTCGTGATTGCGACTTTAACTAATACGTTATTTTACATGAAAACGAGGTTCTATAGCCAAAGGTAACATATTTTCCGGAAAGGTGTATTCTGAGCTACCAACGTTCAATAAGCTATTTTGTTGTAAATTTTATGCAACGATTATGGAGATATCGACGCTACATCCCTGTCCATTGTTTCTATTTCGGCTTTCCAACACGGCACAGTAATCTGATGCGATCAAGGATCAAGCAAGGAGACTGTTGGAAAGGGCCGCAGACAGGGAAACAAACTGTGCGAAAATGGCCACCATATAGATAATCGAAAAGAAAACACTTCCAAACATAGAAGGACTTCGGTGGAGCAGTTGTGAGAGCAAACGCCTTTCACCTCTGAGATCGTGGGTTCGATTCTCACCACGGACTCGTTTTAAAAGAGTTCGTCAACGCTCTGCCGAAAGTCGTGGGTTTTCTCCGGGTGCAGTCCAGTTTCCTCCCACAGGGAAAGTCGACAGGGTGAGTTGGGATAAACACAGTTAAGAAAGTAATATCACAATTGTTGTAAAGATAATAATAGCCTAGGTTAAGTATGTAATACTGTAGTATAAGCGTATAATACTTGATGTAATATTTCAAATCCGACTATAAGGACTGGACTAGACTCCCGCATTTTGATCCAGTCCTCCGCTTCGCCTCGGTCTTCATCAAATTGCGCGGACTTGAAATCTAGTCCAGTCCGAATTGGAAACGACACTGTTGCTGCGTTACCCGCATGTAGATCCTGCAACAGAACACCTACCATTTGAGTGGACGTCGTGTTTGTTGTCTGTTGAAATTGATTTTTCATGTCCACAGTCTGTGTGTCGCGGTTGAACCGTTCCGCGGCTTCCGCCTGTGAGAAACATTAAATTAATGACAATTCGCACAGGGTAAAGCATACTTTGATGAATGCTTAGCTAATTGTTGCTGCGATTTGTGTCAACAAAACATTGGATAATCACTCATGCTCATTCTCGTTTGCACTTGACGTCATTGCGACCATGTTGGAGGAACGGTAACAAAAAATATCATTAGCAGCTCTTGTATTAGACTTTCGCAAAGTCCTTCGTCTTTCAGTTTAGAACGAAGGAATTTTCAAGGAAGTAATTTCTTGAAGAGTAAGAAATTTGCGAAAGTCATATACTGTATGCATGGCCGCCATGTCTTTCTCAATCTCAAGGGATTGATTGCAAACCACCAATGCATGCTCATGCAAAAACTTTTGTTAGTTTAACACACTCAATCAGAGCAGAAAGTCTCACCAGTGTAAATGGGCTCTAAAAGTATTAACAAACATATATGTTGAATGACATACATTTGGTGGTAACCGTTTCTTCGAAACAGTCTGTATTGATGCATTATGATATTCAATCCCAGTCAGACGATGACGAAATCCTCCCAGGAATGGTTTCTTGTTTTTCTCTTGGACAACTTGAACTTTTACTTCATTCACCAAACCTTCAAATTCTACAGAAATTATTTACAGCAAATATACTGTGGAACAAGTTTATAAAATTCATATAATATCTGTTAACTTTGTTCATATGCCTTGTTTGATTTAATTTTATATAATTATTGACTATTTTATATACCTGTACGTTTTTAATTAAAGATCCACTGTACATGCAAAAAAGTTTTGAAAGACCCGTTGCACCATGATTACTACCGAACAAGAAACTTTTGTAACAAGAATGGAATGATGAAAAAAGTCTGTAAAAAATTCTTGCAATTTTTAAAGTTTATTTTATTAGTTCTCTAACATTTTTATCATGTTCAGATGTTGAAATATCTAGTACTTTATATTTTTTACTGTTTTGAATAGAGTTATATCTTTTACACTCTACATACCAATCTACAGTATAGGTACAGTACAACAGTGGAGATCCTCGCACCCCCTTGACAATAGTTGTGTTATGCTAAGTTCACAACTGCCCATGCAATACATTCTGGATGAAAATGTTCTAATGTACAGCAACATTGCACGATTAGGAGGCAGGGCATATATTTCGCTATTTATCTGATTTAATTTAGAATCATTGGACTTTGGAGAATATTTTACAGAGTGCCCAAACAGGTTTTGTCATTGATTGTATAGGTCATAGACTATAGAAGTAGCTTAGAAGAAGATACCATTCAGCAAAATATTTCAGTTACCTGATTCAACTCTGACAGTGAGAACTTCTGGCATTTTATATAATGGATTATTCTGTTTCGGTGGTATGGCAGCTGAGTTGTTAAGTAACTTTAATGGAGCGTTGATAGGATCCACTGACTGTACCTCGATATGAACAATTTGTTTTGAGCCAAGACTGAGCAATGTCACATCATCATTCAGTAGATTACCTACAATGACAAACCAAAATATGAAAGTGAAAAAGTCATTATTAATAACAACGATGAAAGTTATATAGCACGCCTACAGTAAAAACTATGAAGAGACAACATGCATGCACAGATAGCGTAAAAACTTGGCCACACTAAATAGACCATTTGCTAATGCAAATGGTCCATTTGCTAATGCAAATGGTCCATTTGCTAATGCAAATGGTCCATGTTTTGAGCCAAGACTGAGCAATGTCACATCATCATTCAGTAGATTACCTACAAATCTACAATGACAAACAAAAATATGAAAGTGAAAAAGTCATTATTAATAACAACGATGAAAGTTATATAGCACGCCTACAGTAAAAACTATGAAGAAGAGACAACATGCATGCACAGATAGCGTAAAAACTTGGCCACACTAAATGGACCATTTGCATTATAGACTAAATTTTGATCTAGACAAAAATTTCATCACAGCTTGAAAGAGCATCACAAAATTAGTAATATTCCAAAGTTTCGTTACGAAATGTTGTAAAATGCGGATAATATAGCCTTGCGAAGTTTGCCGTTTTTCAGTCATTTTATTGTATTACGCACGGGAAATTGACAGCCCAATCGGGTGTTGGAGCATCAATTTCCCGTTTGTAATCTAAAATGACTGAAAATTGCAAATTTCGCAAGGCTATATTACCCGCATTTTACAACATTTCGCAACGAAACTTTGGAATATTACTAATTTTGTGATGCTCTTTCAAGCTGTGATGAAATTTTTGTCTAGACTTGTTTAGATCGAAATTTAGTTTATAATGCAAATGGTCCATTAGGGTCCACATGCACCTTACTAAAAGTATAACATAAAATTGTACAACAGACGCCATTCAGCAAAGCAATGGGATTTTTTAGTTTTGAAAACATATAAATTTTCACGCCACTGTGGTGTCATCTATAGGAGAGTAGGGTACTTAATCTAAATTCGAAATCATTAGCAGACAGACAATGGTGTCTTTTAATAATAGCCAGCGACATTGATTAATCAGCTAATCTCTAAAATTGATATTGTGTTGCTCGAACGATCTGTGCCAGCGTAGGTAATACCAAAAACACCAGAATTTGAGATGGAGAAGGATTCCACCACCTGAAAAATACAAGTAAAACTTCCACGTTTCGAGCGAAGGTCCTTCGTTGGGAAGTTAGAAGTCGACAAAGGACCTTCGCTCAAAATGTCGAATTTTACTTCTATTTTTTTGGTAGTTGAATTCCTATATCCATCTCAATTCTCATATTGTATTGCTTACCATCATAAAGAAAAAGAATAGAACTTGTTGGTTGACCACACTGAGACGAAACTGCGTTCTTAAGATCAGACATCGGCTTGTTTATTGGATAGGAAGTACTTTTCACAGCTCCTTCTGGCATGAACACCAGTTTGACTAGAAAAGCATTACATTAAAAATGTTATTACATTAATGCATTATAACAACCTTGGGTCCATATTTTCACATCCAGAATTTCAATTCAGTTCTCATCCAAACACGTTAAGTTTCACCAGTGACAAGATTAGGACCAGTGATCATGACAACACTGATATCATGATAAATGGTCTTAATTCTCTCTCTCTTTGTCTCTGCATTCCCTGATAAACAGAATTGCATAAAGCAATGGATGCATATGAAACATAAATGTTCTAAATGTAAACAGGCAAACAATAATATATACATTCAGCAAAAGCTATAAGATTTTGCCAACCACAATATGACCTCGTTTCAAATTGGAAGCTGAGTGTATTGGAGAAGCATAAAAACATAATCATGATTCTTGTATGTACAAAATTACATAATTATATACATCTTCACGTTCTCCCTGCATGGGTTTGATCACGTACACTTACATATAGGAGAATAATTTTAGAAATTTAAAACACCAAATAACATATTTCATTTAATGATGCCTTTTAATGCCCGAGATAGTAGAGGTTCTACACCAACCAGGCAGATTGTGAAGTCCTCACAACAGAAAAAAACAAGAATTATCCAAGCTCAAGGAAGACCCAACGCCTACAGAATTATAAAGTATTGATAAATTGCGCCCTGGTAATAGTTACCATTAGCACGCTTATGGACCATACACTTTTAGCATTTTACCATTCAATGCATTGCCTCAGCTCAATAAGAAGTGGGAAAAAAAGAAGTTGGCAACCGGGTAGATACTTTATTTGATCCTTATCATGAGTTTTGCACCGTAATAATTGGAGCTCACTTTAGAGGTTAGGGGCGGGGTTGGGGTGGGGGTCAGGGCAACCTTGTTCCCAGGGCCTTTTTTAGGGTCAGGGATCCACCTTGATACATTATAATAGGGGTCACACGAAGTATATACCGGCAACCGTACTTACAGACCGCTGAGTGAAGTTGTCCACACGCGTAAAAGTTTGTAACTAGTGCTTGTGTACGCAGTCGCCGAGTGGTCCGGCCTACAGTAGAATATGCAAGCCTGTGCATCAATACTTGCCAGCTGTCAAAACTGAAGTCTCCTTGGATGAATTTTAAAATTGTCTTAAATTGGATAAGACTCGCTACCAATTTAATACGGTTGACTCGATATCTCAATGTGTAGAGTGGCGGTCTAGAAAACCGAAGATGCGAGTTCGAATACCGCTCGAGACAACGATTTTTTCTTAGTTCGTACTCTGCAGTCTCAAAATAATATGAAACTAGTTTAGAAAACTTGTCCGTTATGATTTTGAGTGTGTCAATGCTCCACCATCCAGCTGTAAAAATACACTATTGAAGGCAATGCATGTGCCCTATACATGTAGAGTGTAGACCAATAGCAACATGCTTTGATTCACTCTGTCTTTACCAATCGGTAATGTCCAACCCGTCTCAGCTCATGAAATACCGGTAAACAGCTCATTGAAATTCCATTTATTAATAATCAGCCTTGCAAGAACAAATCGTTTTCTGGTCTTAGACTAATAAGAAACCGTTTGAATTGTACTCGTAGTACCTTGGAACTCTCCTAAACCTAACTATGTCGTCGAAGGCCCAATTGCAGTTAATACAATGTGTTCGACTAATTGGCCCATAAGTGTGCTAGTGGTAACTATATCCGAAATACAAATTGACTGTTTGACTTCATTCATTCAAACAGGCTTATAAATTTTAGAGACTTTTCTGTAACTTGATATCTGAAAACATTGTGCGGGCAGTTTCGAGTGGGTGAGGTGGGTGGGTGGGGGGGCAGTGCCGTAGCTAGCATTTATAGTTGGGGGGGTGTAGGCCAAAAATTTCCGAATTACGAAGAAAATTTCCGAACTTTCGAAAATTCTTGGCGACCTCCCCCCCCCCGCCAAAAAAATTTCGGTCGGTGTACCATTTTAAGGGTCAAAAAATTTTTCCGGACATACCAAAAATGAGATATTAGCTAAAAATTGCCTGAATCTCGTGATTTTCGTACAAAAACCATATACTATAATTGCCGTAATTTTCCGAATGGCCATCCCATTTTCCAAATATGTCAAAAGTTGGGGGGGTTAACCACCCCCCCAATACCCCCCCTCGCTATGGCCCTGGTGGGGGGATGCCCATAGGCATATTTAATGCATGCATGGTAGTTGAATGCTCACTCACATTTTTGAATATAATTATACTATTTAGGCAACAGAGTGTTCTCAGAATGCAGGAAATAGCGTATAAGAGCTCTCAGATTTTCAACATTTGCAAGGTTGCTTCTAGACTTACATCAATGTTGGCATGATGGCTATGGAGCCAGGAGTGAGGCGTTTTCAAATTTCAACATACTATCTTAAAGAATTAAATCCAGGAAACACTAGTCTCATAAACAGTTCTATATTTTTTACTTATCGTTTTAAGATTGACTTAGTTTGTATTTCCTCGCCCCTGTATATGAGTTGTGATGAATTGAATTAAGCCACATGCATGCGCACTTTCTGGGCACTATAAAATTTATCTTTATTAAATTAAGAAAGAGATATCTTTGAGGTTTGGAGTACTTGTGTGTGCATTTTTTCTTCACTGAAATGCGCAGTTTGTACAGTACAATTCAAAAATAGAGGATGTGGACCCTAGCTATGTATAATAGATGTGAAGCACATTTTTCTGCCTAATCTGCCACTTATCAACTCTAAATGTCAGGCCCTCTTTGAAACCTTGTGCCACCAACTGTAGTTATGTCCACACTTTGTTCAATTCATTTGTGACATATTGTATATTTTGACCTGAAAAATCCTGTTTCCAGTTAACAAAGTTAGCAGTCTGGTAACTAAGGCAGTTAGAAAATTAATAAATAATGTATTTTGAGGAAACTTGCAATACTTGTTTTACAGGGTTTAATAGGTTAAAATCGATGGATGTTCTGCTTGCAAGTTACTGTAGCTGCATGAATGACCCAAATCCAATTTTGTCTTAATTCTTATAGCCTGATCATTGACATCAAATAGATTTCATCTTGCTTTGCAGTGTTGCAAAATACACCCTACAGTAGGTCATTATTTTACTCTAATGCCAGTCTAATGCCAGACAATTTTACTCGTCAAGGGGAGAGTCAGGGTCTTCACTAGATATTAAGATTTTGGGTGTGTTTCTAAATTTCAGGGTGTACATGTAAAGTGACCAAATACAAGGCCAATAATTTATATGCATGCTCTTACTCAAACCGGCAGCATTACAACAAATTATTATAGAGACTATTGGGGCCATTTCAAGCTATATTTTGACACCAAATATGGTTTCCACTACATGTATATATATACCTAACATGGATCACTTTACCAATTCCCACCAACTAGATTTTACAACTTCTTACAATAAAGCAAATCCTGTCTAAGAAGCAAATCCTGTCTGTTGTAGGCAGCAACATTCTCTTTTATGAAACCACACAGCTTTATATCAATGATAAACCCACGTTCATTTTACCTTGCCGTGTTTTCCAAGTTTTGGCCATATGGTATAAAACAGCCAACACAGCCTAATTCTAGCTAAGACCCTGGGGAGATCGATCACAGCTCTGGCACTCAATGGATTAACCCAAATGTAATTTTAAGCAGCATACCCCCAAATGTGTCCTATTTATTATTTTAAACTTCTCAACACTGAACATGGTTTACATGGGGAAACACAGTTTACAGTTTGGAACTTGCCACCGTTGATTTTGAAAATGTAATAGTAAATATATAAAGCATCAAAATTGCGCAGCCGATATCTCCGCCACGTGATACAAACTTTCCACACAGTGTCTGGGCCACCAGTAATGTAGCCAGCCCAGCGATTTAGTCCCGCTTTGCAAATATTTCCGTGTTCATTGACTGTGAAAAGAATCAATTTCATTAAGACATGAATGATAATAATTTTTAATTTGCATAGCGGGACTAAATTGTCGGGCTGGTTACGTGCCTGACTGGAAAGCTTGGAAATTGTGCGGCCGAGATTTCGAAAATTTAATAGTAAATATATAGAAAGCATCAAAATTGTGCACCTCGGGCGCACAGTACAAACTTTCCACACTGGGCTATGTATGCCATACCCTGGATTCCAGAGCCTTCGACAGTAAATAATAAATTGAAACGTCGCGAAGGCTCTGGTTCAACAGGGATTGTACTAAAACCACTAATTCTGTTTTGTGATTGGTGCGGTTTAATCAAAGAATCTCCCCATTGAACCAGAGCCTTCGCGACGTTTCAATTTATTATTTACTGTTGAAGGATCTGGGATCCAGGGTACGTACGCCACTGTGCAACTTTAGTTAATGGGTTATCAGGGTTAACTAGACATATATAGGCAGATAGTCTGATTATATAACAGATAAATCACAAACAGATAAACTGACAGTCCTTTATAATATTACAATACCTGTGACATCAGACTTTTCTTCTAGAGATACATTGACATTTGTATCATTATTTGGCACTTCTTTAGAAGATGTTGACGGGTCAGCTACTGTATCAGTCGCAGTGTCTGGAACAACGTCTTCTGTGTTCGTTTCATTATTTCCTTCTTCCTCGCCAGTATTTGCTGTTATACTTTTGTCAACAGAGGACATAATAGATGCTATATTTCACAACAGCAGTTCGCAACTTTAAGATTATTTTTATTCAACCTTTCTTCGCTTTCCTTCACAATAATATATATCATATCATGTTGCCTTGGTAACAAAAACACAAGTAGACAGCATTGACAGTATAATCGCAGGCTCCTTCAAGACTCCGAAATTTCCAAAATTAGCAAGAATTTTGCCAAGAAATACCATATCTTGTCCAATTTAGGCCAAACAATTGTATTCTGTTTCTCATTTATGCGTCTGTACCCAAAACTCAGTGGTTTGCACTTAAATTATAATAAATGTCCGCCAAAATGCCCATATTTTAGCGATAATCAATACGCTATGGTTTTGAAAGTTCAGTACTTCATCTTAACAGGATTTTAATGGACCCTGGCTGGGTGTATGGTAATGAACAAATCAGTGGAACAAATGAACAAAGCAAAACAATCATAACAGTTGAACTGTTGAAAGGATTTTTGTCATGGAAATTTCGAGCGGACGAGGGCAGAATATTTTTATGCAGTTTGAGGGCCGGTTTCCATTGCAGTCGCTTTGCCCGCGCAGGCTTTGAACTTATCTGCTCACACGGGCGTGACGGGCTTCAAAAACAATGAACGCTTCTCCCGCGCGGGCAAAGCGAACGTTAATGGAAAACGGCCTTTAGACCTAACTAGGAGCAGTTGCGAAAAATACAACTATAGGCCTCGGGCAGGAATTACACCTGCGAATCGCGGGGTCTGTGATACACTCGTGTTTTTATTCCAGTGAAATACCTATAGCTCTGGTTATTGGCACGACGTCGTACGCATGCGGCCAATAATTAGTGACATCATAATCCTAAAATCTTTAACATCGTGTGTATATAATCAAAACGTTTTTGATGTTTGCTTCGTTGTATGCTTCATCAATTTCTGATGATTTTATCGGTGAAATAGATCAGTTTTAATAAAACTTGTTAAAAAGTTGCGCAAGGGTGATTGTATGAACATTCAACAAAACAAATCACGCAATGTTGAAAGGTAAGCACTGCATACATACATTCCGTTTAATTTATTTTATTTTACAAATAAGCTAAATCAAAGAAAGGTCATGACCTGGAGCCTCGTTTTCGTGTTAAAGCTTATTTCAACACTAGTTTATTGGTCAAAAGAATTCTTTTTCATGCATGTGTTGAAGAAAGACGTTCTGCTTCTCTGTGCATAGCCCATGAGAAAAAAATTGAAATCCTTTCCATTTAAGGTGGTCCCAATTTGAAAACAGTGTAGTTGTGACGTAATTATCGAAAGGGTGTATTCTAGAAATTTTACTAGGTTTTCTTTCAATCTTTAGCCATGCAGGGTGTTTCAAGTACTCAGCGTTCAAACGTTTTAATATCAACCTTATGCATCTACAAACTCGGCTCTAGTCTCACAGTCTGATCTTGTCGAATTGGGCAGTTCTAAATTTTTCTTAGGATGACCCCTGTAGCCATGAATATATAAACGATAACTTGCCAGGTCCTAGATAACAGCAATAGCACTTTTGAGTGATATTGCTGTTATCTAGGACCTGGCAAGTTAAAACTTAAAGAAAAGAAGTTAAAACTTCTTGGGAGGACAAATCCCTTGTTTGAAGAACTGTCCGTGTTTCATGAAGACTGACTGGATGGAAGAAAAAGCTCAGCAAGCCAGGACAATCCTGGTACACATTTATTTTTTATATAAAAAATAACTCTTGTTGTTGCATTTAGATAACGCAGTTCTATATTCCTTTTCATATCATTTCATGAAAGCTTTCAGTGGTTCTTCCGCCTCCTGTTTTCCATAATTATACCAGATGTGTAAATTAATCGATCATTTCTATTTACAGTTGGAAAAGTGCTGCCATTGATTACAACTTTGCTTGGAACTTTCTTATGCTTCGTATGTGAAAAGATTATTCCTGAAATTTTAAATTTGCCAAGAATCCTCTTCCGTTATCTTCCAGAAACAGTGCTATGTCAGTGCCAGTGGTCACAGAATTTCAATTATCTTACAATGATTCTCACTGCTCCAATCGTATTGCCAATATTGTTTTGTCTTATTTTATTCATTACTGGTGCTTCGACAGTTTTTGCCGTATTGATTTTGCCTTTGATGTTTCTTGCTTTCATAAAGACACTGTTGTATAGATTATTTAGAATAATTAATTATTATGTACATAATGACTAATATTGTTTTAATTCCTACTGAATAACACAATTAATTAAGATTATGGAGAATTAGAGATATGCTGAAATGATTGATCATGGTGGTGAACGGTCAAGTATCGAAAAACTCGTGTATTTCCGTACAGCGTGGCATGCCGGGCGGCCGGTGAAGATATATGTTTGTGATGTTGTCTCTGAGTGTGCCCACACCTGACAAGGGGCCTGACAAGTTTGCTTGACCGCGTGGTAGGAAACGTCGCTTCTCGACCCGACTTGACATCGTAGCTTAGTTGGTAGAGCATGGACTATAGCAAACCAAAGGTCGCGGATTCGATTCCCACCGCGGATAACTATTAGGTTCTTAACTCATTCACGATTCAACTTGATGTACTATAAAGCTCAGCTTGAAAATGATGTACTAAGCTCAGCTTGCCAGGATCCCGCTTTAGCTAGATATATGTAAACTTGCGATGCACTCCTGCCTACCCCGCCTCGTACGCTTATGATCTCATCTAGTAAGCCCTAATTTCTGAAGTTGTAGGTATACACCTCTCTCCTCCGCGGAGACTTTTAAAGATTAATTAAGACAGAATTGGACGAGAGAGCGTAAACGGCACCGCGTTATAACTTATACAATCCCGACTGGCTGTGAACGGGATAGACGGAATACAGCTAGTATTACAGTGGTCCTTCACATTTTAGCCCGGTAACCGGTTGGCTGCAGCAGCAGAAAAATTGAAGTTGGACATATTATAAACGTAAGGTGGGCAAAAAGATGTGGAAAATAAATACAACAAGACGCTGGGGTTATAGTGATACGCATGTTAGATGGTACTACACTCGCGACCTTTGGGATACCAGTCCAATGGGTTCGATTTTAATTCCACCATGGTCAGACAAACTTTTCAGCTTGCCCGGTGTGGATGCATACTCAGAGTAACACCACAAACATCATATTCACCTGAGTGAATAAATAACGTACGCCTGAACACACACAAAAAGTATCATATCTTAGAATACATTGATATCGAAGGAACTAGACTCAGTTCCGAAATATCACCAACTCGAGGTTGGGATATTTGTAGAAATTTAGAAATTCCTAAAAGTTGACAAAAGTGGAAGCCACTGAGCTGTATACTGTAATTATAACAATGTATACAATCCATTGAAAATAAGTAGTTTTCATTACCAGCAAGCAAATTTGGGAAGTGTCAGTCTATTGGCTGATTGAAATCGTAGTATGAAATTGTTAGTGAAACTCACATGCAACTATACCATAAAAATGAGCTTACACACAGGAGGACTTAATTACGGGGGGTGGGCTAATGTACCGACAACATTTGATGTTAGTATTAATATTTATTGTATGTGTAAACTATACCATGAACAAAACTACATACAAACATACAAACTACATACTGTTAACATACGGCGTTCTAGCGGTTAGCACGAGAAGGACTTGACCGATACGAGCTAGCAGAGTCAGGAAGTATGGACTGATGAGGCACTTTTCTTTTTAAAAATTTATTTGTAATTTACCTTTCGATATAAACAGATCTTCTATTAGAAGATCTGCTTATATCGAATGGTAAATTACAAATTTACCGATCAATTGAATTGAAATTCGACTAAAAAAGTTAGCAGTGTGTTTTGTGCTTTTTATCTAACTTATAAAAATCTAAAAATGTATCTTTACTACTTGTTTATGTCATACCAATTTTAAGAACACAATTAAGAACCTAAATTATTAAATTAAACTATTTTAAGTTCTAAAGTTTAATTAAGTTTCACGCCAGGATAGTAGGAATACCAGTAGTAGGAATACTATATATTACTATATAATATATTACGCCATTTTGTAGGTACCTGTCTACTTTCTGGTCCGCCTTCACTTTAACCAGTCAGATCACGTTCCACAAAAGCTCGTAATCTGATTGGCTAAATGAGGTGATCCGTTAATCCCAACAAGCTTGAAAGAGTTTGGGTGCTCGTCTGCTCGACCCCAGCCCCCAGGCACAGAATAAGGCACACAGAAGGGCCCCCTGGCCGCCATCTTCCTAGCCAGTCGATTACATTTTCTGGCCAACAAACGCGCTGTATTGGCTGAAGGCCCCGCCTTCTGGCCAGTCAACTGCATATTTTTGCATAGAAAAATGGCGACACGTTGCACCGCTGAGTGGTCCTTCTGGTACTGATCTTTATTCTGTGCCGCAGGCGCTATAAAATATTGTGGCACACGTGCTGCCACAGCAAAATAAAATTAACTGCAACGGCAAAACAAAATATTAGGGACTGCTCATTATTTATTGTACAGGGGGAGACTGAGGAGAAACTCTACAGTTACAATATTTTTTCGTTGCCCCCCTCTTAAGACAAGTAAAATTTTCAAAGCCCCCCCCCCAAACAGGAAAACAAGAACATAAATGTTCATGATCCCCCCTAGCTCTTTATCTTTATTTAGAGAAACAAAAACTCTAGCTCTTTATTTAGAGAAAAAAAAAGATAATGGGGACCAATAGACAATTCCCATTATAGATATAGCCTTCCAAAGTTTGCAACTTTTGTATACTTTTGCATTGCAATTTTCGTATGCAATACAAAAGTACACGAAATTTGCAAACTTTGCAAGGCTATAATATATTTTCCGTATTTTACAACATTTCGCAACCAAACTTTGCAATAATTTACTTTTTTTAGTATGCTCTTTCTAGCTGTGGTGATTTATTTGCATCAAGGCCGGATTTTGAGGGAGGTGTGGAGAGGTGCGCACCTCCCCTGAGATCGTTTTGCACCTCTCCTGAGAATTTTTCCACCTCTCCTGAAAGGTCATGCACCTCCCCTTGGGAAAGTTTCAATGATGGAACAAAGTGAACATGTGATGGTTGGGTGATCGCTAGATAGTATACTTCAAAATAAGGTTTCTGTTTTTATAACGTAGAAAAAACTATCTAACGCAAAACTAAACCCTAACCCTAATACTAGCCCTAAAGCCCTAATCCTAACCCCAACCTAAGCCTAACCTAAACCCTAACCTAACCCTAACTTATTTTAAAAATTGATATAAAAACGGAAATCTTATTTTGAAGTATACTATCTAGCAATTGCCGTGATGGTTGCTTAGGATCTACACTTCGTGACGTAAGAAAGTTTTCTCTGTAAAATTGAAACAGTGATAGCCATTTATCTCTGTATGCAATGTTTTGAAAGAAACTTTGTAGCAATTGTAATGAAGGGCAAGATTGGAGTCATACATTCATAATTCATTAATACACTGGTACATATGTACACTACATGCATACCTCACCTCATTGATATTGGCCTGTTCTACAATAAGCCCTAACTTTCTATGGGGGTTGTGAGCTAGACTGCTGTACCTCCCCTAAATTTTTTTCCACCTCCCCCACTATTTTCACCAAAATTCGACCTTGATTTGCATCTCTTTGCCTAGTTCTAAAATTAGTCTATAATGTGAATTGTCTATTTACATGAACATAAGAGACTCTTTATTTGGTTTCCACTTATGAATATTAAAGGTCTATAAACATTGTTATTTGTTGTTAAGTTGTTTTCTGATACATTTTAAAAACTACTAATGATTTTTCAAACTGGTAAATCTTTTCAAAGCCCCCATTCTTTCATCTCTCTGTATTTTTTCAAAGCCCCCCCTTTCAGGTTTCAAAAAATTTAAAGGCCCCCCAGTTTCTCCTAAATCCCCCTCTGTACAAATAGTACAATAAAGAATGAGCGGTCCCTAAACTCATGGGAAAATAAAGTTAACTCACGGCAAAACGTAAAAAAAGTAATAAAAGAAAGTTGGGGCTATAGTGATACGCACAGATGTTTAGTACTACAATCGCGACCTTTGGGATAGTAGTCGGAATCGATTCGATTTCAATAGGCAATTCCAGCTTTTAGTTTATGCGTGCAGGGGACGATGGGAAGTAAGGTATCACATTGCTGATTATGCTGAAAAAATAAAAATTGTGGCCGTGTAAAAACGGAGTGATAGCTTATACTTGTAAATATTGAAATATTTAAGTTATTTCGGTAGTTTTTATTGAAATTTTTCAGCATAATTGGCAATATGATCAGTGTGACCAGGTTTTTTCAGGGCAAATTACCACATCCGGTTTCAAAAATTACTATTTTCGGTCTGAAATTACCACGGTGCTATATTTTCCCAATTTTCCCATAGTTTTTCGAAAAACTATGGGAAAATTGGGAAAATAT